TCTGTACAGGACATCCAGACTTAAAACTGTGACATGTAACGTCTCAGAGAAATCGTTAAAACATAATGTCCTCTACAGTGGACAAAACTCCATAGCTGGTAGTCAGGATGATATATATATATATAGAGAGAGAGAGAGAGATCAAAATTAGAGAGAAACCTACAATTTCCTAAATTTCAAGGTCACTGCTTAGTCCTATTTGAACGTATGCTAACAGGAGTAGAAGGGCAGTTTTTTTAAGCATATTTCACAAATTAATTGTATTCCGAAGCACAGTATAAACAACTTAAATGGGATATTTGAAAAAGAACTCAGATCAAAATTAGAGAACAGTTACAGATACCTCCACGTTATTGGTGTTAATCTGGCAACTGTTGCTAATTTCCTTCATTATATGACAAACCCTATTTAACTGGCAGCAATTCCTCTAATTTTCACTATGATTGCAAGATGGCGGGCTTCTCTAAGGTGACTGAAACTCTGCAACAGGAGGTGGTCCAGATGAAGGCCAAAGAGATTTCAGTCACTGTAAGAGAAGTTGGTCATTCCAAATCTGTGATTTCTGCAATATTGCAGCTTTACAATAACACTAATTCATTCAAGTCCCCCAAAAAGGCTGTTTTTTCAAAAAACAATTGCACGAGAAGACAGGATAATGTGGAGACTTTCAGTAGGGAATGGGTTCAACACTGCAGCTGGAATTGCTCGCCAGTTCAGTTCTGAACAGGATAAGGATCTGTCTCTGCATGTTTAAGAGAAGTCGGACTGAAAGCACACTCTGCAGTGACCAAGCCTCTCATCAGCAAAAAGAATCAATAGGCTAGACTCACATTTGCTAAGGAGCATGTTGTGTAGAGAGAGTAGGACTGGCCCAAAGTTCACTTTAGTGAGTTTAATTTATTTGGGTCTGATGGGAAGAAGTCAGTAAATGGTGGAAGAGGAAGTGCTATGCTTTGGGGGATGTTTTCTGACTCTTTTACAGCTACATGGCAGGTGAATGCAAATGTTTATCAGAACCTCCTTCAGCAACATGCAGTTCCTTCCCTGCAAGCATCTCCCAATCAGTCTGCAATTTTCATGCAAGACAATGTCCCCGTCACACTGCAAAACGAGTAAATCAGTTCCTTGAAGCTAATGGCCGGCCCAGAGTCCTGATCTAAATCCAGTTAAAAATCTCTGGAAAATCCTTGGCAACAAAGTTATGGCTAAGTTGTAGTCTTCTTTCGTGTTACAGTGGTTACTGTTCTCTAATTTTTATCACTGTGTTTTCCACAAAATAAAGGTTTTTTATTGAAATGCCTTGGTTATTTGGTAAAACATGTTAGCATAACAGTGGTATACCCACAGCTAATATTCCTTCAAATTTTGAGCGATGAAGATTAACAATATTTCAGAAAAAAAAATCAAGTATTTATAGATTGTTCTCTAATTTTGATCTCCACTGTATAATACATAATAATACATTTATACAGTAAATTACTAATTGCATTTAAAGAGCATTTGCCCATTGAATACTTGCACAACTGTTTCCGAATTTTAGTTATTACAGCTTAGGGGCCAGATTAGCAAAACATTCTTAAGAATAATATTCTTTTTTACTGCTTTTTCCTAACTTAAAAAAATGTAAGGAAAATATTAGGTATGTCGATTTAAGGCATTAATGGCTCTTGTGGCATTTTGATGTCATATACCGATCAATCTGCGCAGCGCTGCTTCAAGTCGAACACACCTATACATTGGATTCATGACAAACATGATGCAGGGCAACAAGTCACTGCATGAAGTAGCCGAAAGAATGCAGTTATATGCCCCTAAAATTCAAGAGATTGGGGCAAAAATACCCCTGTTTGAGTTTTCATATTTATTCATATTTAGTCTCATATTTATATAATATGATATAGTTAAGCAATATCACACAAGCAACGAGTGCAGTTTTAGTCCCAAATAGCATGAGTGCAAATGTGATATAGATTTTATATAGCATTTCATTAAATAAGAACTTTATTTAACGAAATAAGAACTCCAAAAACTTGTTTTTGCTCAATTTTGCCAATGCAAATATTACCTACTGTATAAAGCCAAACCGGAACTGTTGTGTGTCTCCGAGCATCACACAGTGGTGATTTGTTTCTGAATTAATCCGTGTTTTGAACGAACGGGTGAACCAATGATTCAATGGCCCATTCATAAAGAGCGCCATTTACTTAATTCATAAATGAATCAGCAGTTTGAATGAATCGAATGAATGAATGACTCAATGACTTATACATTAAGTCATTTATCGCCACATAGTGGCAGTTTTAGTTTCTTATTTAGAGTATAATTTTATTTAAAAAAAATTCCATATTCTCATATTAATAAAAATTCTGAAAAAAAAAAAACCATATTAATAAAAAAATTATTAAAGGGATAGTTCACCCAAAAATAAAAAATTTAAATAGAAAAAAAAAAATTCTTTCTAAATCTACTTTTTGTAATATCTATTTCATGCTTTTCTCATGTCTTTAGATTATCTTTTAGAGGATTTCTCAGCCAAATTTGATGTGCAATTAACTTTATTAAGTAATTGCCACAAAGTGTAATTAATTAGATTGAAAATTTTTATCAGTTGACAGCCCTAGAAAATATGTATTTATAGGAACAGAAATTAACAGAAATTTGGTTAACACCGAAAAACATAAATAGTATAAGTATAATTACATTATTATATGTAGTATAATTATACAGTATAATTACATTAGTGCAATTCCCAAATTTTCATGTTTTTGGTGAGCAGTGGAGTCAGTGTTCTGTTATCTGGGTAAGTGCTGTAGACAAGGCTTGGAAAAGCATTTTTTCTGAGATAATGTGAGGCCTGAGCTTTGGTCAGATAAGGAACAATCCGCTGTGCTCCGGCGTCCTGCGTGCTGATAAGAGACTATCTCTGTCTGACATCCGTTCAGCCACTCTGCATGAGAATCAGAAGCCATCAGAAGGGACAGACAGACAGAGACAAAGACAGAGGTGGCAACATGCGCCTGTGTTCTTGGGGGAAAGGACACTAAAAACAGTTGTCTTTTATGGATATGTACTACCACTAGCATTGTAGTATTATGAATATCGTTCAGCAACCCCAAAGGGCATTTGGACACTTAAAGGGTTAGTTCACCCAAAAATGAAAATTCTGTCATTAATTACTCACCCTTGTGTTGTTCCAAACCCGTAAGACCTTCGTTCATCTTCGAAACAGAATTTAAGATATTTTTGATGAAATATGAGGACTCTCTGACCCTCCCATAAAAATATCTTAAATTGTGTTCCGAAGATGAACGAAGGTCTTACGGGTTTCGAACAACACGAGGGTGAGTAATTAATTACAGAATTTTCATTTTTGGGTGAACTAACCCTTTAAGCTAAACTTTTTGGTCACATAAATCAAAATTTCCCAAAATTTCAGTCATCCACATTCCACTTAGTACAGCTCAGGTGTTTCTGGTAGCAATATACAGCACACCTGTACATACAGAGAGTTACTCATGAGAACACAGATTATTATTAGGTTTTAAGGCTATCAGTTGATTAAAACCTTTATGTTCCTATAAGTATATATATATATATATATATATATATATATAT